ACTCCGACGAAACAGTTTGTCACAGCCCCTCGTTTGTTGTCCTCTTCTCTCTCTCTGCCTACGGTTTACCGGGCAGTTCTGTTTGTGACGATATAGATATATATATAGTCACAGCCTGTCATTTGTTGTCCTCTTCTCCCTCTCTGCCTACAGTTTACCAGGCTCAGTATCGACACATTAGCAAAACACGGGGTCCACAATGCCGGTCGCAAGTCTCCTCAGATCCTATGTAAAACAGAGGAGACCGTGCACCTCGTCTCCATGCTGCACTCTTCCGTGGTGGTCCCCTCTGCTGTCTTTTCACTTCGCGGTGATCCTATGTAAAACACGTCTTCTCGATGCTGCACTCTTCCGTGGTGAGCCTATGTAAAACACGTCATGCTGGTGCTTAGGCCGTCAGTGTTTTCACTTCGCATTAAACGTTACAGTGCTACCTTTCACATAAAGACCGGAAAATTGACCATTTAATGCTAAGTGAAAAAAAAAAACAAAAAAAAAATCTAAGTGAAAACACTGAGAGCGTAGGCTGCAACGCGGATCTCCCCTTTGACCCTGAGGAGTGGCAGTGGACCCCTGCGCGAAGAACCCGGCCGGATGCAAACGTCAAGTTGTATAGTCTGTGACCGTGAAGGCCACATACCATCTACTACACCCCAGGGTAAACCTGAAAGGCATTGTGAAGAGCCGTTGGAGGTCTCATTTGAATGTGGGGGTCGTGCCACACGGCGTTCCCCTCCCGTAAGATCCCGGAAACCAGAGAACACATATTCTTGCAGTGTCCTGGGGCAGTCCTTACATGGCGATGGTGGGACAGGATCTGGAGCCTTTTGGACATTGGATCGGCCTGGCCATGGGATTGGAGAGCGATACTATGTGAGGCATGGACCTCCCCCTCGGGCAGTACCTTTGAAAACAATATGTTTACATGCTATGGAGGGGGCCCGCATAGCCGGGGAAGAAAAGACAGACATGATATAGAAAAACAATATAGACATCAAGAACTCATGGTACAATGGCGGCAAGTTAAAAACCAAGTGGATTTGTTTTATGCACAGAAGGAAAGGATATAAGACAAACAATCCGACAATTCTCAGGGGACTGTCTGGGCAGTGAGAACGGGGCCCGGATCGCCTTCGTCGAATGGGATGGTGGTCGCGCCCAGGAAGGCAACCAAGGCACCCAGAAATGCAACCAGGAGACAATCAAGAGGGACTATTATATCTGCTTCAGAGATTCGACAACGGTGGGCCAGGGGATCCCCCGCTACGACCACCTTTGGATTTTCCGGACCCCTTCCCGCCCCATCAGCTGGCTATGGTGGACGTGCAATGGTATGGAGCA